GGAGGGCGGCTGGAGCGGTAGGGGAGCGGGCTGGAGCGGTAGGAGGGCGGCTGGAGCGGTAGGGGAGCGGGCTGGAGCTGTAGGAGGGTGGCCGGAGCGGTAGGGGAGCGGGCTGGTAGGAGTGCAGCTAGAGCTGCAGGGAAGCGGGCTGGAGCAGTAGGAGGGCGGCAGGAGCGGTAGGGGAGCAAGCTGGAGTCATAGGGGAGCGGGCTGGAGCGGTAGGAGGGTGGCCGGAGTCGTAGGGGAGTGAGCTGGAGCCTTAGGAGAGCGGCGGAGTCATAGGGGAGCGGGCTGGAGCGGTGGAAGGTGGCCGGAGTTGTAGGGGAGCGGGCTGGAGCGGTAGGAGGGCGGCCGGAGTCGTAGGGGAGCGGGCTGGAGCGGGTAGGAAGGCGGCGGAGTCGTAGGGGAGTGGGCTGGAGCGGTAGGAGGGCAGCCGGAGTCGTAGGGGAGTGGGCTGGAGCGGGTAGGAGGGCGGCGGAGTCATAGGGGAGCGGGCTGGAGCGGTGGGAGGGTCACCAGAGCGGTAGGGGAGCGGGCTGGAGCGGTGGGAGGGTCGCCGGAGTGGTAGGGGAGCGGGCTGGAGCGTTAGGGGAGCGGGTTGGAGCAGTAGGAGGGCGGTTGGAGCGGGAGCGGTAGGGGTGCAGGTTGGCACGGTAGGAGTGCAGCTGGAGCGGTAGGGGAGTGGGCTGGAGTGGTAGGAGGGCGGCCGGAGTCATAGGGGAGCGGTCTGGAGCGGTAGGAGGGTGGCCGGAGAGGGAGGGGAGCGGGCTGGAGGGTTAGGAGGGCGGCCGGAGTGGTAGGAGGGCGGCTGGAGTCATAGGGGAGCAGGCTGGAGTGGTAGAAGGGAGGCCAGAGTCAGACGGGAGTGGGCTGGAGGGGTAGGAGAGTGGTTGGAGTCATAGGGGAGCGGGCTGGAGGGATAGGAGGGTGGTCGGAGTCTTAGGGGAGTGGGTTGGATCAGTAGGAGGGCGACCGGAGGGGTTGGGGAGCGGGCTGGAGCGGTAGGAGGGTGGCCGGAGGGTAGGAAGACAGTTGGAGCGGTAGGAAAGCGGGCTGGAGTGGTAGGAGGGCGACCGGAGTGGTGGGGGAGCAGGCTGGAGCGATAGCTCCAAGGTGAAGGGTTTTCAGAACGAGCAGCCCCTTGATGATTATGGGGCAGGGGTTACTCTTATCACTTGTAGGGCACTTGGACCGGGTACCTGATGCCCAAGGCTTCCCCTGTGGGTGAGAGGCAGGGTCCTGCTGGTCGGCAGTGAGAGCCAGTGTGGGGCGTGTGTACATAGGATTTCACGCATGTGATGGAAAGGCATCCATGCAGAAGAGTGAACGATGCGAAAGTGTTGTAGCACCGTGGAAACGTATAGGCATTACAATCTGAGCTATTTGATCAGAAAATAAAACAATAGGCCAGCAGGGTGACTCATGCCTGTAATCCCAGCATTTTGGGAGGCCAAGGCGGGAGGACCACTTGAGTCTAAGAGTTTGAGTTCAGCCTGGGAGACATAGCAAGACCCTGTCTCTCCTAAGAATTTCTTTTAAAAAGCTGGGCATGGTGGTGCATGCCTGTGGTTCCAGCCACTTGGGAGGCTGAGGATTGCTTGAGCCCAGGAGTTTGATGCTATGATCACACCACTGCACTCGAGCATGGGTGACAGAGAGACTATCTGAAAGGAAAAAAGAAAGAAGAAGCCACACCAACATGCTACCATGTCCTATGCTCCTCTTTTTTTTTTTTTTTTAAAGACAGTTTCACTATGTTGCCCAGGCTAAAGTGCAGTAGGGCGATCTCAACTCACTGCAACCTCTGCCTACCAGCTTCAAACGATTTTCCTGCCTCAGCCTCCTGAGTAGCTGGGATTACAGGTGGCCACCACGACACTCAGCTAATTTTTTGTATTTTTAGTAAAGAGGGAGTTTCATTAAGTTGACCAGGCTGGTCTTGAACTCCTGATCTCATGATCTGCCCACGTCAGCCTCCAAAAGTGCTGGGATTGTAGGTGTGAGCCACCAAGCCCAGGCTTTTTTTGTTTTTTTTTTGGATAGTTTCACTTCTGTTGCTCAGGCTGGAGTGCAATGGTGTGATCTCAGTTCACTGCAACCTCTACTTCCCAGGCTCTCCTGCCTCACCCTCCTGAGTATCTGGGACCACAGGAGTGCACCACCGCACCTGGCTAATATATTTGTATTTTTGGTTGAGACGGGGTTTTGCCATGTTGCCCAGGTGCAAGGCTCATGAGTACAGTTCCTGTTTCATTCACCGCAGTATCCCCAGTGCCTGAGACGTGCCTGGCATTTGGTAAATCCTCAAGAAATATGTGTAAGGGAGTGAATAGTTTCGGCTGGAAGTGGGAAGCCTCCCACTTCTCTGTCCACAGTGTCTGCGTGTCCCTCCCCCGGGGGTGTTCCACTGCTCACTGTATTTCCTATTGAAAATGTCCTGGACCTGCTCCCTCAGTGTGTGGGTGATGTGGATCTGGGAGAGCCTCATGTTGTAACTTTCTGCAAAGCATAAAACAACTATGGGTTTGGGCTGTTCAGTGAAAAGGCACTTAGGGAATTTTAAAGAATATGATTTTCTAATTATGGGAAACTCCTTCTCTGGCAATGGGCCCCTCAGGTCCTTCAGCACCAAGGTGTTGATGGAGACATGTTTTTTTCCAGAAGGACATGCACTGTCGTCACAACGGTGATGAGCTGGAAATTAATTGCTGACATTTGAAAACCACCAAACCAATACATAAGTCCCAGAGGTGAGGGACACTGGAGAGTGGATTCTTGTGCCCCAGGCTGGTGGGTAGGGAATGGGGGCTTTATGAAGTCCCTAGAGAGCTGGAGAAAAGGGAAAGAACACAAGCTCAGCTAACTCAGCAGGTGGTGGGGGACGGGCAGTCCCCACAGACACGGGGTGGGCCTGGCAGCTCCCAGTGGGCACTCACTCACCCAGAGGGTGTTCATTAAAGACCACCAAGTATGGCCAGGAACAGTGGCCTATGCCTGTAATCCCAGCGCTTGGGGAGGCCACGGTAGGAGGATCACCTGAGGTCAGGAGTTGGAGACCAGCCTGGCCAGTGTGGTGAAACTAGAAATACAAAATGGTGCTGTGAACCTGTAATCCCAGCTACTAGGGAGGCTGAGGCAAGACAATTGCTTGAACCTAGGAGGTGGAGGGTGTAGTGAGCCAGGATCATACCCCACATGCCAGCCTGGGCAACAGAGTGAGACTCTATCTCAGGAAAAACAAAAACAAAAGCTGGGCACAGTGGCTCACACCTGTAATTTCAGCACTTTGGGAGGTGGATCATCTCAAGTCAGGAGTTCAAGACCAACCTGTCCAGCATGGTGAAACCCTGGCTCTACTAAAAAAATATAAAAAATTATCCGGGCTTGGTGGTTCACACCTGTAATTTCAGCACTTTGACAGGCTGAGGCAGCAGGATCATGAGGTCAGGAGTTCGAGACCAGTCTGACCAACATGGTGAAACCCTGTCTCTACAAAGAGTACAAAAATTAGCCGGGTGTGGTGGTGGGTACCTGTAATCCCAGCTACTCAGGAGGCTGAAGCAGGAGAGTTGCTTGAATGCTTCCTAGAAGGCAGAGGTTGCAATGAGCGGAGATTTTGCCTCCAAACTCCAGCCTGGTCAACAAGAGTGAAACTCTGTCTCAAAATAAGGCAAGTGCCAGCATGTACTGGGGGATCCCGGACCGCCATGAGCCCCTGACTGCAGGGCAGGGAGAAAGGAGGGGAGGAGGGAGTGACTCTGGGCACTTGGGCCAGGCTTGTAGTGAGGGTCTCAGTCTGCTAAGGGGGCTGGGTATGAGGAGCTGTGGTGAGGAGAGTCATGAACTCCCCCAGTCATGGAATGTCCCAGAACAGCTGTGCAGAAAAGAGTATGAGGGACCAGAGGCAGAGAGCAGCTGCTCTCTGGGCCTTGGGCCCCTCTCTCTGGGCTCCCCCACCCCCAGTGACTCTTCCCACCACCAGTCTTGTCAACCCCTTTCTCCTCAGTACTAGAGGGTGGCCACACAGTCACCCTCTACTACTCACTTGCAGCCACACCCTGGCTCCTCAGAGCAGCCCCAACACCTGTCTCCCAGCTCAGACCCTGGCACCTTCCTGCTGCTCGATCCTCTTCTTGCCTTTCCTCAAGTGTCTCCCTGCTTCCATTCCTCTCCTTCCTTGCTTACTTCCACCTCCTGCCTCCCAGCCCAGCCCCAACCTTTTCCACCTGACCTTAGTGACACACCCCTCCCTCCCTCCTTTCCTTCCTTTCTTCTGTGCCTCCCTTCCACTATTTCTCTCCTCTCTTTCTTTCCTTATTTTTCCTTTCTTCATTCATTCCTTTTTCTTTCTTTTTTTCTTCCTCCTTTCCCTTCCCCTTCCACTTCCCCTTCCACTTCCCCTTCTCCTTTCTTCCTTCTTTCTTTCCTTCCCTCCTTCCTTTTTCCTTCCTCCCTCCCTTCCTTTCCCACTTCTTTCTTTCTCTTTACTTCCTTTCTTCCTTTTTCTTTTTCTTTTTTTCTTCTTTCTTTCTCTTTCTCTTTCTTTCTTCCTCCCTTCCCTTTGGAGTCTCTACGTGTTGTCAGAGACATCTCCTCTTCATCAACTCCCTGTGACCCCTGTTTCTCAGACTTGGAGGGAAATAAGGGCACACAAATTGTGACCATGGAGGTGGGGCAAGGCTGCTAGGAAGAACAGGGAGTGTCTGAGGTAGTGATTCTCCTACCTCAGCCTCCCAAGTAGCTGGGATTACAGGTGTGTGCCACCACAGGCAGCTAATTTTTGTATTTTTTTTCAGTAGAGATGGATTTTACCATGTTGGCCAGGCTGATCTCTTGAACTCCTGAGCTCAGGTGATCTGCCCACCTCAGCCTGCCAGAGTGCTGGGATTATAGGCATAAGCCACTGCGCCCAGCCTAATTTTAAAATTTTTAACTTTTTTTTTTTTTTTTAGACAGAATTTTGCTCTTGCCACCCAGGCTGAAGTGCAGTGGCACTCGGCACCTCTGCCTCCCAGATTCAAGCAATTCTCCTGCCTCAGTCTCCACAGTAGCTGGAACTACTGCCTCCCAGATTCAAGCAATTCTCCTGCCTCAGTCTCCGCAGTAGCTGGAACTACAGGTATGTGCCACACCCAGCTAATTTTTGTATTTTTTAGTAGAGACAGGGTATTACCATGTGGCCAGGATGTTCTCAATCTCCTGATCTTGTGGTCCACCCATGTTGGCCTCCCAAACTGCTGGCATTACAGGCGTGAGCAACCACACCTGGCCAAATTTTCTCTGTTTAATTGTGTTTAGAGACGAGCTCTTGCTCTGTCACCTAGGCTGGAGCGCAGTGGCTCAGTAATAGTTCACTGCAGCCTTAAACTCCTGGACTCAAATGATCTTCCCACCTCAGCTTTCTGAGTAGGTAAGACCGCAGGTGTGCACCACACCCTGCAAAGTTTCTACATTTTTTTGTAGTAACGGGTTTTCACTATGTGGCACGGTCTGCCTCAAGTGATCCTACCATCTTGGCCTCCCAAAGTGCTGGAATTACAGGCTTGAGCCACCGTACCTGGCCTTGAGTACAGAATTTCCTTAGGGGGTGACGAAAATGCTCTAAAATCGGTGATGGGTGTGCACTAAAGTGTGAGTGATATCTCAGCAAAGTTGGTTTATTTAAAACAGCAACAGGCTGGATGAAGTGGCTCATGCCTGTAATCCCAGCACTTTGGGAGGCCAAGGTGGGTGGATCATCTGAGGTCAGGAGCTTGAGACCAGCCTGGCCAACATGATGAACCCCTGTTTCTGTTAAAAGTACGAACAATTAGTAACTTGAATGAGGGGCAGGGTATCCCACCTGCTCTGAGCAGCTCTTTATGAGCCCCAGCTATTTCTGGGGTCCTCAAATGAAACCTCCCAAGTCATACCCAAGTCATTCCCAACATGGGCCTCCTCCCCTTTTCTAGCCCCAGCTGGGAGATGCTGAGTGATAGAGTTGGGTGTTCCTGTCAAAGCCTCACCCCAGGAGCCCCACAGCTCAGGCCCAGTCCATGGTTCACATGGCCCCATTTCGTCCTCTTTTTCCTTTGAGAGCAATTTGTCCCTGAGAGATCCCTGGATCCCTCATTCAGGTGCAGTGCTGTAGGGCAACACTTCTTCCCAGGGTGACCCAGGCCTGCAGTGTCCCAGTGTCACTGGCAGGCCTTGACCTGGCCTCCACCTGAGTCCCTGCTCCTCCTCTCCCACAGGGAACATGACATCCTCTTCCCAGGGTACACCCACCTGCAGAGGGCCCAACCCCATCACTGGAGCCACTGGATTCTGAGGTGAGCTGGGTGAGTTGCTGGGGCTGTACTGGATGGGAGGACCCTGGCTGCCCTGACTCTCCTGCCCCTGGCTTTCCACAATGGTGCATGGTGCTGACCCTAGATTCTGAGCAGCTGCTGGAGGTGCAAAAGCTGATTGCTGTCCTGCCCCTGGGGAGGTGGGCCTGTTGAGGGTGGCTGCTGCATAGCCTAGGGATTCACACATGAGCTGGGAAGGGCAGAAAGGGTTAGAAAATCAGGTTATCTGCTCAGAGGGGGACCCTGCATGGATCCCCAGGTCTTGCTAAGGTGGGGACATCCAAGCCAGTGAATGTGTCTGAGCAGGGCTGGCCTCCTCAGGCTCCTAGTGAGTCCAGCCCACTGCCCTCAGGCTGACATATGGGGACATGTGTCAGGAGACAAGGGTTCTGCACCCAAGGTTACTCGGTGCTTGGGGATAAGTGTTCAGGAGACATGAGGGGACAAGTGTTGTGGACCCAAGGTGACTGGGCCAGGGAAGAGGTTGAACTCCAGGTGGTTGCCCTGGCAACTAGGACTTCATTCTGTGTGTGTGTGTGTGTGTGTGTGTGTGTGTGTGTGTGTGTGTCTTTCTGTCTGTCTGTCAGGGTTGCCTGCCAGGAGCCCTGGTCACCATGAATCCCTGAAGCAGGGCCATTTTGGGCAATTGCCTGGGTATAGACAGAGAGCTGCTCTGAGCAGGTGAGATACCCTGTCCCTCCTCCCTAGGGAGAGTCACCCTCAGCACTCGCCAGGAGATGCAGACACACCAGAAGGCAGGAGCTAGTGGCCCCTGGTGAAACCATCATTCATTGCCTATGGGCACTGAGCTTATCTAGGCCAAGGGTCACCCATGGCAGGGGCGCCTGGTACTGAGAGACTCAGGGCTCCTACCTCCCTCCTAGACTGGAAAAGATGCCTTTCCCCAGCTCCCACCCCACCCACCCTAATCCTCTTCCCTGATCCTTTTTCCAGGGGGAGAGGGCCAGGCAACCAGCTTAGGGGAGAGGAGGCCACACTCCCTGTTCTCCAGCCCAGCCCTGCTTCCTCCCAACCCCCAGAACTCAACTTTGGTGCCATCACTCTTCACAGCCTGGATGCCACCAGTGAGCATGACTTCATGGGTGAAGTGACTTTGGGCCCCTGCCCGGTGCTTCACTTCTGTCCCTCCGCCCAGCTTCTCTCCAGTCTTCTCCTACTCCTGTATGGTCAGACTGATTGTACACTAAAGTGTAAACTTTAAATGAGTAAATTGGGCAGGGCATGGTGGCTCACGCCTGTAATCCCAGCACTGGCCAATTTGGTGAAACCCCATTTCTACTAAGAATACAAAATTTAACCAGGTGTGATGGTGAGCACCTGTAGCTACTTGGAGAGCTGAGGCAGGAGAATCGCTTGAACCCAGGAGTCCAAGGCTGCAGTGAGCTGAGATCACACCAGTACACTTTAGCCTGGGCAACAAGAGTGAAACGTTATCTCAAAAATTAAAATAAAATAAAAATAAATAAATGGGTAGATTTATGTGAACAATACCTCAGTAAAGCTGGTTTATCTTATTTTTGTTTTGTTTTGCTCTGTTGCCAGACTTGAGTGCAATGGCACGATCTCAGCTCACTGCAACCTTCACCTCCGGTAATTCTCCTGGCTCAGCCTCCCAAATAGCTGGGATTACAGGTGTGTGCCACCACACCCGGGTAATATTTTTGTATTTTTAGTAGAGAAAGGGTTTCACCGTTTTGGCCAAGATGGTCTGGATCTCCTGACCTCATGATCTGCCCACCTTGGCCTCCCAAAGTGCTGGGATTACAGGAGTGAGCCACCACACCCAGCCAAAGCTGGTTTATTTAAAACAACAAGAATAACAAAAAACAGGCTAAATGCAGTGGCTCACATTTGTAATTCCAGCACTTTGGGAGGCCAAGGCAGGAAGATTACTTGAGCCCAGGTGTTTTAGACCAGCATGGGCAACATAGCAAGACTCCATCTTTACTCAGAATGAACATTTAGGTCAGGCACAGTGGCTCACACCTCTAATCAAGAACTTTGGGAGACCCAGCCAGGTGGATCACGAGGTCAAGAGATCAAGACTACCCTGGCCAACATGGTGAAATCCCGTCTTTAACAAAGCCATGGTGCCAGCTATTCAGAAGGCTAAAGCAGGAGAATTGCTAGAACCTAGGAGGTGGAGACTGCAGTGAGCCAAGATCTCACCACTGCACTCCATCCTGGCAACAGAACGGACCCTGTCTGGAAAAAAAAATGAAAATGTAGCCAGGTCCCCCCTACCGCCTAATGTCCTCTTTCTCCCTGTATGGTCAGGCTGGGTGAGTACCAGAGAGGCTTGGTGACTGGGAATCTTTTCTTTCTCCCAGCTGAGTTCCTGTTCTAGGCTTCATTCTGCATGACCCATCTCAGCAGGATGGCCAGGGACCTCATCCTCTGTGGCACCAAGGAATTCAGCTTCATGTAGCTCTCAGATGCCTACAGGTAAGCCCTGAACTGCCACTTCCACCTGCCCCTCCCAGCCTCTGCATTCTCCACACCCCTTAGGCATGGCTTCCTTCCTCCCCGCCCTCTGCCAGACCTGGCCAGTCAGCTGCTGGACCAGAACAAGGGCCTAGCCCTTTCAGTGCCTGCATCTTTGTCTGCAGCACCAGAAGCAGCCTGATGCCCCAGAAGAAAAACCCCGACAGCTTGGAGCTGATCTGGAGCAAAGCAAGGGTGTGTGTTTGGGCAGGTGAGCATGGCAGGGAGAAAGGAAGGGTGGATATGAGATCCCCAGCAGGGGCAGAATTCCTGGTCCAACCCCATGCCTCCCTCTTCTTGCAACATTCTGTGCTCCTGATGACCCTCAAGGAACTTGCCAGCACCTGCAACAAAGACCTACAGTTGTGAGGCTGGGGACAGTGGCTGTGGGAGGCCTGCCTGCCTACACACCATGTGCCAGTTCTCGGGGTTCTAGCATACCCAGGCAGGGACCCTCAAGATTGCTGTACCTACACCAATCCTGTGCACTCAGCCCCATCTGTGGCTGCTTATGGAGCTCTCGGCCCTTCCTTTGGGTACTGAGTATTCTTCCCATGGAAGGCAGCAGGGATGCCTCAGTGTGGAGAGGAACATCTTCTGCCATGTTCCTCCCAGGAGGACAGGAAAGCTTTGTTTGAAGTGTCAGACACCATGAGTGCTGTGCTTCAGGTGGCCACTGGCATCATCTCTACACTGCAGGCAAGCCCACCCCCACCTGCCTCTCCTCCCCTAGATCCCAGGCACTGGGGTGGGCTTGCCAGGAGAGTGGCCTTGGGTGGAGGCAAGGTGGGGCCGGAGGACCTGGGCAGGGAAGGAGTGGTGTGCTGGCTCCTGTTCCTGGGGAACAGGGAAGGGACAGAAGCTGCTGCCATGCAATAGAAGTAAATGAGACTCAAGGGACCTGGGGCCTGTCAACTGACCCAACCAGAATGCTTTTAAAAAAGAAAATTTATATAAAAGGTTGTCATGGTGGCTCACGCCTGGAATCTCACATTTTGGGAGGCTGAGGCAGGTGGAGCACTTGAGTTCAGGATTTTGAGACCAGCCTGGCCTTAACAAAAATTAGTTGGGTGTGGTGGTCCACACCTGCAATCCCAGCTACTTAGGAGGCTTAGGTAGGAGAATTGCTTGAACCTGTGAGATGTAGTGAGCCGAGATGATGCCACTGCATTACAGCCTGGATGACAGAGTGAAACTCCATCTTCAGATATGTAAATTAGTTAATTAAATATCTTTTAAAAATTATTTTTTAGAGACAGGGTCTCTTTTTGTCACCCAGGCCAGAGTGCAATGGCACAGTCATAGCTCACTGCAGCCTCAAACTCCTGGGCTCAAATGGTCCTCCCACTTTAGCCTCCAAAGTAGCTGGGACTACAGGTGTGCACCACCACACCTGGCTAATTTTTTGAATTTTTTGTAGAGACAGGGTCTTCCTGTATGGCCCAGGCTGGTCTCAAACTCCTGGCCCCAGGCCATCCTTCCACTTTCATCTCCCAAAGTGCAGGAATTATAGGCATGAGCCACTTTGCCTGGCTGATTTCTTTTAAAACAATTATTATGGGAATTTCTGTCTATAACAGCTAGAGAATGCATAATGAACCCTATGTACTGACACCCAGCTTCAACAATAATCAGCTCACGAACATTCTGGCTCCAGCTGTCTTTACACACTGCCCCACACTGTGGGTATTGGGTAATCCCAGCACTTTCAGAGGCCAAGGCAGGTAGATCACCTAAGGTCAGGAGTTTGAGGCCAGCCTGACCAACATGGTAAAGCCCCATCTCTACTAAAATGCAAAAAAATTATCTGGGCATGGTGGTGCATGCCTGTAGTCCCAGCTACTTGGGAGGATTGAATCATTTGAGAATCACTTGAACCCAGGAGGTGGAAGTTGCCGTGGGCCAAGATTGCACTATTGCACTCCAGGCTGGGCAATAAGAGCTAAACTCTGTCTTAATAATAATACTAAGGCTGGGCACAGTGTCTCATGCCTGTAATTCTAGCACTTTGGGAGGGCAAAGTCACACAGCTTGCAGTAGGATCTCCACAGTCATTAAAGGTACCTGGTATAACAGAGACTACTGAGTTACTCACCGATGACCAGAAGTGAAATGTGGAGCCCAGACCTTCGAAAGGCTGGGATGGCACTTAAAGAAAAAAGGGGGCGGGGCACGGTGGTTCGTGCCTATAATCCCAGCACTTGGGGAGGCCGAGGCGGGTGGATCATGAGGTCAAGACATTGAGACCATCCTGGTCAACATGGTGAAACCCTGTCTCTACTAAAAATACAAAAAATTAGCTGGGCATGGTGGCACGCGCCTGTAGTAGTCTCAGCTACTCAGGAGGCTGAGGCAGCAAAATTGCTTGAACCCAGAAGGCGGAGGTTGCAGTGAGCGGAGATCATGCCATTGCACTCCAGCCTGGGTAACAACAGGGAAACTCCGTCTCAAAAAAAAAAAAAAAGAAAAAGAAAAAAGAGGGATAGCATATGCTATAGACTGAATGTCTGCCTCAAAGTTCATGTTGAATCCTAATCCCGATGTAACGGTGACTTTGTGAGGTGATTGCAGCTATTGAGGGAGGAGTCCTCATTAATCGGATTCGTGCCTGGTAAAAGAGGCCCCAGAGTGCTCTGTTACATCTTCTACCACCTGAGAACACAGCAAACAGGCACCATCTAGGAATCAGGGCTTCCCCAGACAACAAACCTTCTCCTTCCTCCACCCTGACCTTGGGCTTTCAGCCTTCACAAATGTGAGAAATAAATTTCTGTGGTTTATAAGCCACCCAGTCTATGGTACTCTGTTATATCAGCCCAAACAGACTAGGATAGTACAGTAGCTTTCGAGGGCAACTGGAACAAGGGGAAGGAGGACTATTTGTTAAAGATGTCAGCAACTGGCTGGGTATGGTGGCTCATGCCTATAATCCCAGCACTTTGAAAAGCCAAGAGGAGCAGATCACCTGAGGTCAGGAGTTTGAGACCACCCTGACCAACATGGTGACAACAAAAAAATTAGCTGGTTGTGGTTGTGCACAATCCTAGGCACTCGGGAGGCTGTGGTAGGAGAATCACTTGAACCTGGGAGGTGGAGGTTGAAGTGAGTGGAGGTTGTTGCAGAGGCGAGATCGTGTACACTGCACTCCAACCTGGGTGATAGTGACTCCATCTCAAAATAAAAAAGATGTCAGCAACTTAAGTATTTTTAACGGCTGGGCAGAGGGGACCAATGAAAAAGAGTAGGACATCGTGATCTGAGGGGAGGGTTTGGCTCAGGAAGGAGGAAGTACACCTCTTCCTTGGATACTGGAAGGGAAGGTGTTGCTGATGAAAACTCCAAAGGAAGAAAAGGTCCATGGAGGATGCTTCATCACTGGGTTTAAGTTTTTTAACAAAATTGGTGAGGAAGACATCTGCACATAATCTAAAAAATAATGAATGCAGCCATGGTACCTTAGGGCGCTGGAAAAGGCAATGCACCTGACCTCTGGGGAAGCTGATCTGAGAGGCACGCGGGACGTCTTGGTGTGGGACAGTGAGTCATACTTCCTGACCTTATAACCATGCAGCTCAGCAGTCTCTGCGAGAGTCGGCTCCCTGCAATTTGTGTTCCAGGTACTGCTCTCGTTCGTTAAGACTTCTACAATGGGGAGGGTAAAAGAAATACATTTTAATTTGTAAGAAAATGAAGCATTCAAAAATAAAATTACCTGCTCTATCCAGGGTATATTTGCTTTCCAGCCTATCTTAGCAGTTACAGAGGATAACTGCTAAGTACACTTGACTCGTTCATTTGAACATCATGTGAGCACAATTGACAACCCATCTTAAAAAAAATCTTGAGAAAAAAGTATTTAATTTCTTGACTAAATTTAGCTTTTAGAAGGGATCAGTGATTCTGTTGATGGTGATTGAGACGGTTAATATGTAGATGTTTTCTTCTTGGCATGTGAGAGACATGTTTGTTTTAGTGGGAGCAGCAGGTGTGTGTGGAAGAAAACCTGGCACCACACTACTTGGGCTGGTAACATGTATTTTTCAAGTTCTGCTCCACCAGGCTGAGTACCATGTGTTGATAACTGATATCTGTGCTTCTATCAAATTAAACCTGAAGTGCCTTTCTCTTTTCATTTCAAATAACTTTGCTGTTTCGTTGCTTACGCCATTTAAAGTGAGATTTGTACCAAAGTGTTAAAATGTATTTAGTGTATTCCTTAATAACATGAATGTATACGTTACAATCTTTGATTTAATCTTATCGTAAGTCTTTAGTAGCAGTGTAGTCTTGCAATGGAAATCTTTCAGCTATCTTTAATCTTTATCAAGTTTTCAGTTTATTAGTCTGTTTAATCTCTTATGCCACTTTTACACTTATGCCATTTAGACTATCAATTAATAAACATTGAGAAAAATAATTATTATAACTGTTACATTGAATTCAGAAGAGTGACACATGTTTAATATTACATTCTATAAAAAATCCTAAGCTTAATTTTTCAGGAAAGATTCAGTTTTATTCTTATAAGTATTTACAATTAGTCAAAACTCCCCCTACCCCAATCCCTTATCAAAATCAATGTTCATAAACCAACAGGTGAGGTTTTTATGTACCCACTAGATGCTTATATGTCCATGGGCAGGAATGATCACAGGAATTAACGCATCCATCCAGCTGGACTGTGGAGATGTTTCTAATGTTTGATAGAGATCCTGCTATTCACGTAACTGTGGAGTGACTTGGCTAACTGACATATGTTCTTTAGGATCCATGGAGCACGTAACACATCCTGATGCTGTTCTCAGCCTTCTATGGCCTCTTGGTCACCGTTTCCTACCATCTGAGCTGGCAGAGCAGTGACCCATCTGTGTTCATGTGAGTGATCTATGCCTGTGCTGTCATCACTGAGCAGGGGGTGCGGTTCCCACAGCGTTTTGCCCTGACTGAGGTGGGGAGATGGCAAATCACTGCCTATTGTAATTTGACTCTCATTATTAAAGGTCATTCACCAGAGGAGGGCAGGAGAAATACAGGACCAGCCAGAAATTAGTAACAGTTAAAAGTGAACATCCAGCAAACATTTTGGCTTTGCTCCTTTGATTTTGGAGTAAAATGCACAGTGGCAGGAACAGATGGCCAATAGCACCCAAGCCCTGTTGTGACTTTCCCTTGGGTGAGTTGGGTGAGAAGCTACCACCTCAACAATACTTTCTCTAGATCCATTAAACTGCATCCCTGCATTGAGGCAGTTACCTGTGGAGACTAAACCAGCACCTCTGAAAGGAAACGTTTTTGTTCTATTTTGTTGTGGTGGTGTTGGTTCTCAATCTGGCCAATGCCCTCTGGATTTAAAGTGAGATTTACACCAAAGTGTTAAAATGTGTTTAATGTGATCCTTAGTAACGTGAATGTATACATTACAATCTTCCCTTTAATCATATCTTTTAAGCCTTTGGTCACATGTACTCTGGCACTGGAAGTCTTTCAAGTGATGAGTTTCCGATACTGACAGTAGCATCTTATGTAATGTGTTTAAATTTATGAAAAATTTTGATTTAAGATAACCATACTCTTGGAGGACCAGAGACAGCATAATTTTAGGCTATTAGATGCGGCAGTATCAAAGGCATGAAAAATGGAAAAAAGAAAAGTTAAATGGTTCTCACACTTTTTAGTGTCAGTTGTATTACTTCAGTGTTCACTTTCTGCTGCTAATTGTTTGTGAAGATGAAGCTCTAGTGGGCTGTCAGAGATGGAGGACCGTTCCTTTGTCCCACTGCTGACAGTAGAGGGTGATGCTGCTGCTGAGGTACTTGACTGCTCTCATTAGGGTGAAATTGAGAATTATGATCACTTGAACGAGTACCTCTTTTTAGATTTTAAATGAAGAGGGCGCTGCTTTTGTCATGTGTGGGTGTGAGATCTAAGGTGAAGTTATTTACCAAAAACACTGCCCCAGGGACGTCATTGATAAAGTAAAACCTATGTCCTTCATTCAATGCAGACTGTTTCCTAAGTTTTTACATCAAAATCTGGAAGAGTCAGCTGCTGATCCTCTCCCCAAGAAGATGAAAGATTCTGTGGTGAGACATTTGTGTTGTGTAACGTAGTATAGGAGGGCCTCACCTTTTCAGCAGAGCTCGGGCTCTCAATGGGCCTCTAGGCAGGTGGACATGAGAAGGGCTAGGACAGAAAGACACCTCAGCATGTCTCTGGCACACTGAACTATTGAACTGCCTGCAAGGGTGCAGCCCTTCAGAGCATCTTGATGGCGGCCGTTATGCACACATGGCATGGGTGCTTAGGTGGCCTTCAGTTGGTTGCAGTTTGCCAGGATAGTCACATGAATCACAGTGAGTCAGTTTTGCCTATTGCTGGCACCGAATAGCAGGTGGGCTCTGCACAAATGAAAGCTTTTCAGATAAACGTTTAGCCAACCTGCCTTCCTGATGTGGTCCACATAAAACTCAGCTCCACACTGAGTTCAGAGCACTCTTTCAAAGTTGATGTCTGCACAGCCATTGCTTGGGGCACTTGGGCTTTAGACTTAGGGCTGGGTCACAGAGAAGTGGGTAACCACACTGGGGAGCACAGGAGAAGAAAAGGAAGAAGGAGAGGGAGACAGGAAGAAGAGAATCCTACAGCTATAAAATAATGATGCCATTTCCTTGTTCATCAGGAAAATGGCTCTGGACAGCTTCAAACTTTTTTCTTTTTTTTTTTTTTTTTTTGAGATAGTCTTGCTCTGTTGCCAGGTGCCAGGCTGGAGTGCAGTGGTGCGATCTCAGCTCACTGCAACCTCTGCCTCCTGGGTTCAAGCAATTCTGCCTCAGCCTCCTGGGTAGGTGGGACCACAGGTGTGTGCCACCATGCCCAGCTAATATTTTTGTTTTTTTAGTAGAGATGGGGTTTCATCATGTTGGCCAAGATGGTCTCAATCTCTTGACCCCCACCTTGGCCTCCCAAAGTGCTGGGTTTAGAGGCTTGAGCCACCGCACCCGGCTCAAGCACTCTTTTAGCAAATGTAGTTTCTTTGGTATCAACTTACAAACATTCATATGTTAAAAGCCAATGCTCCTTAATTGTGTAAGCTCACATACATCTGAGTATTGAACTTGGAGCTGTCTAATGTCCTTGACTCACACTTTTCCTGGTTTTCTTAGGAATAAGAGATAAAAGGAAAAGGGAATAATCTATTGATCCAACCAGGACTGTGTCTCATTTGTCCTGATATCCACAGAGCCAGTGCATGGTGTTCTAGTGGGTGCTCAGTACAGTTCATGGAATTTAGACGAGTTTAATTGCAGTCTGCCATTTCAAGGCAATGTATGGACTCACAGCCAACATGAAAGCCTTTAAAAGAAATTCATACTCAGCTTTTGTGCCTTTAAATGTGGTCACAATTCAAGCTAATGTATAAAGGCTTTTTTTCCACCATAAATCACTTAATATCAGTAAGGGCATAGTTCATGAATTTTAAGAGCAGAGATACATTTAAAAGCAAGTTAAAAGTCAAAGCAGTTGGCCCTGATGAGATGGCAGCCCCCAAAAAATAAATATTTGACATAAGCCTCGCATCCTCAACCTGACTGCTAATATTTATACCTGGAGACTTACAGGGAGAAGGTCAAACTAACATTCCCACAATACTTTTTGTAAAAGCTGTAGGGTAGCCCAGAGTCTACCCAAAAGTCTCCCCATGAGTATGTGAAAAACTATGCCCTTCTGTCTTCCTCGATTTCATGACTAATGAAGATGCATCTCTACTTTCTGATTTATTGTAGCTTTTTAAAAATTTTTAACCTACACATGGAAGTAAGGAACCAGCAGAAACAAGTCTATAACTACTTCAGTTGTTGGAGGTATCAGACACAGATTTTAAAACAACTATTCTTATTCTTGAAGTAAAAGGCAAATTTTAATAGAAAATATTTAAAACAATCCAGCAGGTTTGAAAGCCAAATAGAATTTTTGAAACAAGTAAACAAGTGAATCAATTGAATTCTACACCACCACACCACCCCACACATGGGAGATTAGATACATCTGAAGAGAGAATTCGTAAACTGAAAAATAGAGAAGAAAATATTCAGAACATAACATCAATTGACAAAAAAAATCAAGAAATATGAAAGGGAAATGAAGGATAGATTGAGAAGATTTAAAATATATCTAATCAGAATTCCTAGAAAGGCTGAAGCATAATTAATACTTGGTGAGATAATATCTCAAAGTTTACCAGAATTGATAAAAGATACTTATCTTGAGATTCAGGAATTTCAGTGAATCACAAGTAGGGTAAATTGAAGAAGAAAGAATCCACACCAGCCAAGCCATAGAAACTGCAGCATGCCAAGCACATATACCAACTTAAAGCAAGTAAACAGAATGAACAGATTACATTCAAATAATGACTGCAAGCTCCCTTATTGAGAGCCATCATGGAAGCCAGAAGATAGTTGTTTGATGTACTTAATGATGTGTAAAGAAAGTAACTAAAGTAACTACCAAGCTAGAACTTTACTCCTGCTGAAAGTATCCTTTAAGGATAAAGGCAAAATAAAGTTTAGAAAAAGAAATGCTCAGAAACCCTCATTACATGTAATCTGAAGGTATTTTCAGTAGAAAGTGGCCTTGTGGTAAAAGTAGTTTGAGGAGAAAAGACAAAAAGGAAAAAAAAATGATCTTGGCTGGAAGGTCTGATTTGCAAGTGAACAAAAAGAAAAAATGGCAGGTACATTGGCAAATCTGAATAAATATTAGCTGCATAAAACCATGATAAAGCTATATAGTTGGCTTTAAAATGTAGAGTAGCTGGGCATGGTGGCACGTGCCTGTGGTTTCAGCTACTTGGGAAACTGAGGCAGAAGAATCGCTTGAACCCAGGTGGCGGAGGTTGCAGTGAGCTCTGAGATTGTGCCACTGCACTCCAGCCTGGTGACAGAGTAAGAGTCTGTCTCAAAATATGTGAATAAAGTGGAATTAAAATACATGACTATAATAACATACAAGTTTGGATGAGAGGAGAAATGAACTTCAAGTTGTCAGAGGTCTTAGTAATGTCCAAGAGAAGAATAAAGATATAGATTGAATGTTCCTAATCCAAAAATCCAAAACCTGAAATGCTTCAAAATCCAGAACATTTTGAGCACCAATGTGATGCGCAAAGGGAGTATTTTGGATTTCCGATTTTCGGATGAGGGCTTCTCAGCCTGTACCGTTAACTTCAGCTTGTGATAAATTAGATATGCATGTTGGAATGTTTTGTGCAACTACTAAAGGAATAGAAACAAAGCATGTAGGTTCCAATTCCAAACAGAAGGAAAAAATAGAAAACTAAAAATAGAAGTTATTCATAAATAAGAAAATGAAATTGGACTACTATGTCATACTGTACTTAAAAGCAATTTTTCAGGTAAATTATAAGCCTAAATATGAGAAAATAATACCTGAAAGCACTTAGGGTCACAATAATGGAAACTTCTTCCATGATATCAGTGTAGGAAATAAGTTTTTAAAACAACACAAAAGGTTCAAATTTATTTAAATTGTGACTTGATTTAGTATTTTAAATTATACAGAAAAGCTACTAGTGTCTAGATGAATATAACATTTCTCTAAATCAATGAGCAAACCATATCTCTCCATTGAAAATAGTTGCAGAAGAATTGCACATACACTTCACAAATGAGGAAATATAAATGGCTAAAAAACATGAGTATATGGTCAACTTCATTAATTATCAGAAAACTCCAAATTGAAATCACACTGACTTACTGTTTCAAAACTACCATACCAAGAAAAGTAAAGTGCTCACAATATTAAGTGGTGAGAAGTGTAGAGCAAGGTAATTCTCATGTATTGCTGGTGGGAGTGTGAACTAGTATACACATATTGGAAAAAAGTTTGGTTAATGAGTAGACTGCACCCAGCAGTTCTACTCCAAGTACTTTTCTGGAGCAAATCTTGCACATTTGCACTAAAATACACG